CATATTTGTGCTTTGTTTGTGTATCATTTGTGTGTTTGAGTTCATGTGCATGCGGGTGGCTGCCAGTGTCTGTGGGTAAAATTTGATCTGCCTCAACCCGGGGGGTTTCGCTAACAGGACTCAGGGGTACGTGCTGGCACCATGTGAGAAAGCTCAAAGCAGGACACACAGGCTATGAGGCGTCACGCCTTTACAAATAAGGATCCCACTGTGATTTTAGCCAGTGTCGCTTTAGCTTGGCTTATGGTTTATGCTAATCGCAAATCTGTGAAGGATCATAGAAATCCAAACAGTCTGACATTTTTGATTATCATTCCACGTTGGACAACAAAGGCAGCAAAGGACGACGAAGACACAAAACTTCCAGGAGTCAAAACATAACATTTGCAGATATTTAATCCATCCAGTTAGTGGAATTTGGGTTGGAATGCATAAAATAAAACTTCTGAAAAACAAGAATAATGACAGTTTCTTTCAAGCTTTAAGCGGATGTTCCTAATTCACAGCTGCAGTGATCATGAGCATTTCTCACTAAGTGTGTGCCTGAAGGTTCAGATTCACATAAGCAGCTACAAGTCATCTCTGTCACGAACTTGCATTGCATCCATTGTCATAGTCTGATAAGTCAACACCCCTGTAAGCGTGAGTGGCATGTATTTAATGTAAAGTTACATGTCAGAACTCACGTGCACAGTGTAAAATGTCATCAGTGTAAGATGTTTGTTCCAAGTGTTATGATGCTGGACACATTAAGAGGTGGCTAATAAGATGCATATATGGTGCTGGCATGTATGTGAGTGTATTAGTGTGTGAGTATTATTGTTTCTCATATCAAGAGGTGTCTGCATTTAGATCTAAGTTTTAAACTAGATTCCACTTTGCTCTATATTTCCACCTATCATCAAAACATCAGCACATGGCACAGCAATGAGCCTGGATGATGGGTCAAACAGTTTCTGTCTCTGTGGCTTTGGATGACTGTCAATAAAGTTAAACTAATCACAGATGGATGTCGACTTTGATCTCATATTATTCCAGGAGCTGGCGGAAGCCATTTTGAATCCTCTCTAAAGCTGTGGCGCGGGCCTAGCGTTGTCACATGTGGATTTCGCATCGCCTGGCCCGTATTAGTGTGATCACCTGGCAAGTGGGCTCTTTTTGTTTTTAATGTCACTATTAATCGTCAGTCAACTGCTATTCTTTTTCTTTATCCGAGGGATACATATTTATGAAGCCTGGTGCTTTTGTGTGAACATTTGCAACCGATTATGTGCGCTCTTCTCACTCCAAACTTCCATCGTCCAGATGTCCAGCTATATAAGCAGAAAGTCCGTCATTATTCAACTCTGAGAATCCTTGTTCCTTGAGGAATAGGGTGTTTGTTTGCATTGAAACGCTAATCAATTGCAGTAACAGGCTTCCTTCTGATCACAGAGAGATTCTTCTTTAGTGAGTCCATCAATTCATGCCCTATTCAAGTCCATTCCCCATCCAGACAGAATGATTCAAACTGCCAAACACAAAGTCTGCCTCCTTTGACAGTTGGACCAATAAAAGGTTGAATGTTTTGATCAGACAGCCTCAAACAATCCTTTACTTGGGGGAAAAAAAAGACTTACCATAATGCTATTAATCATGTGAGGGCGTCAGGGTTCAGCTGGTGTCACGGTCAGCTTCAAAAAGCCTTACTTATTAAGTTCTACTCATTCTGTGGGACTTGTGTGTAAAATCTTTGAAGATTTGATCAGGTACAGGTGCCGGTTCTTGCTGTTCAAAGCGACACCTCAACTCTTTCGCCTGGCCATTAATATCGATGCGAAGGCCAACCTGGGCCAACTTTTGCATTTCTGTTAGAATCGCAGCCTGCTGAGGAATAAGCTCATTAGGGATAATTACAGATGCTCTGTCCTACAGCCATTTCTCCTTTTCAGCTCAGTTTCTGCAAAAGTTTTACTCTGTAACAAAAAAAACAAATGTGGTCAGCAAGAAGCTTGTGATAAGAGGGGATCCTCACAGGTAATGATAAAGGTGTATCAGAAAACTGAACACTTGGACTGCACAGACTCATGCCATTATAAATGTGTTAAAAGTATATATAACTATTTTTAGGAAATAGGCTTGTTCACTTTCTTGCTGAGAGTTAGATGAGATGATTGATATCAATCTAAAGTCTGTACAGTAAATAAAGTAGGCTATGTAGCTGGAATAGGAGAGCTTAGCATAAAAAGTGGAAGCACGAGGAAATAGATAGCCTGGCTCTGTCATATATTACATATTAATTATACTTTTTCGTACTTAACATCGGTTTAAGTCACTGCATCAGCGTTACGTAAGAAGTTGTGATCAACTCCGGTAATGTTGCTTCAACTGTCTCCCCTCTGCGGGTCAGCCCTAATGTTTAACTTTTGCAGTGTTGCACTATTTAGAATCAATGTTTCTGTTATTCTGTTCATAAAATGTATTCAAGACAAGCAGCAAAGACTTCCGATGCTTGGATTACCGCAGTGTGGGCTGCCTGTGCGTGTGTGTTTGTGTGTGTGCCAGAGAGAGCCACAAACAGAGATGCATGTTTGTTTCGGACCAGATTCCCTCCTTTTCCCGGCGAACAGAGGATTAGGCTTGTCGGCAGCGTGTGCACCGACTGAGCCGGCGCTCCTCTGCGCTGTACACACTCCAGCAATCAGGCAGGCTGCCAAACAAACAGATGAAGTCAACAGAGAGACGTTTCCTCGTGTCTTCTGAGATGTGACTGCAACAGATGCAACGCTGACACCGACGCTTGACACAGTGTGACAGCCTACTGTGTCTACACAGCCGGCTCCACTTTGACTTATTTTGAAGCAGGAGGGGGAGGTGTGTGGGGGATGACACTGTGCACATGATCACACACAAGATAATGTTTGTCAGCAGCAACAGCGATGTCACTATGTGGAAGACACAAAGACAGACAACAGGGGTTGATTTCACGGTGCAGTTGTGTTGATTGTACAGTCCTCAAAAGATTTCCAAATGTGGGGGGAACGTCGCAGTCAGTTTTTCGAGGTGCAGGCTTTGATTTGCTCTATGCATGATTCAATCTTCGAGGTGAACTACGGCCATTACATACTGCAAGGTCAAAATTCCATTACATAAATGCAATTTTATCCATGATTTTTTTTCTTAACAGGCCCCATCTCTCAAATATATCTCCACATTGCCACCCAGATAGGCAGGCTGAAAGCACTGCATGCTGGTTAACAGAGTTCTTGGCTTTGAGCAGCTCTAGGGGATGGAGAGAGGGAGTATCTGTATCCAGGTAATTACAGTCTGAGGGGGCACAGAGGTCCTCTGTGATTACACATCAGCCCCGTAATGGATTCAACACTTATAGACGGAGGGAGAGAGCCGCGTTCCTTACCTTCCTATTGCGAAGGCAGGGGACAAGCGGGTGAGAGCAGGCAAGGTGGGGCGGGGTAGGTAGGTATATCTGCAAGATGGATTACGTGGGGTTTGCCGAGTTCAACATTGACACAGATTCATCGTAAATCATTATGCTGGGGACCCGGAGTGATTTCTGCATTAGGAGCAGAAAATGGAGTTCAGCCAGTCAATGAGGGAGGGCATATTTCACATCAATCACCTCCACACTCTCATGTTACCAAGGCTTAAATCTCACTTATACTGTTACCAATAGGGTTCAATGGCTATGATGGCAATCAGCAAGACAGTGCACTAACAATACCCTACTGACTACACTGAGGACACAACATGGGGCAGCACTGCTATTTATTTAAAATGAATTATATTTGAATTGAAATGGAAAAAAGTAAAAGATGATGTTGGCACTAAAGAGGTTGTTTAGATGTAATCTACAGTTCAAACTTTTGTTGGGTAACTTCGCAGCTGACTTCTTGCAGCAGTTTTGTTCATATTCTTCAGAAAGGTAATGTTGGCCAGGGGCTGAGTTTGTAACCAAGGTTGCCAAATATCCATTCAATGTTTCAATGAAGTTTCAATGAAGCACAGTTCTATGGTGAGTAACATTATAGAGTTTAACCCGTTTTTTGTTGCAATTGGCTTTACCTCCTTTGAGGTCCCACCAACCTCAGTAGACACCCAGTATACAAACCCAATATGTAGAAAGGAAGTGGCATGGTAAGGGGACAAAATATGGCAATGATTAAAGCTATGTTATTACACCAAATAAGGAAAAAGTCAATGTTTTGTATTCTAATGGGCTTTCAAATATGGGTTCCTATGGTTGCCAAAAGGGCATTCTCAGCCAAAGAAAAGTTATGTATTATCCTACAGAGTAACCTTACTTATGTTTGGGGTCACTTAGACCTCAGAGAGCTGTAACTTCCTACCTATTATAAAACTCCAATTACAGAGATCTTACTGTGGGTTTTGGGAGGGGGTAATGCTGCTTAAAATGTTCTGTCAACATGATCACAGATGCATGTTTTACAGCTGGTGTATCTTAGATTGCCAAACAGAAGTAATGTGACATTCTCTGTGAGCTTTTGAAACATGTCATCAGTTCAGTTTGTGATGTTTATAAGCCATTCTAATAAAAGTAGAAAAAAAAGACATGAAGTATCAAGCTGATAAAATAATGTTAGCAGTGTGTTTTTAGCTATTAAAGAGGACCCATGATCTCCAGGGCCCCCAAAATAGGGTTATAAATCATAGTGCTGCTTTTAAATTAATTATTTTCGTAACAATAAAAGCCTGTAGACGTTTCCCTGAATAACAATTTGAATGATCACCAGTGATTTATTTGATGTGGCAAACTTGTTTTTTTTTATAACCCCCCCCCCCCATCAGTTGTATTGCCATCAGTAGCAGTTTTGTTCGATTTTTTTTAAAATACAGCGCCTACATACTTTAATGTGTACAACGCAAAAGGTGATATAATTTTTTAATAGAATTTTCCCTAACTTTATTTTTGGGGACACATGTTCAGGGAGGGCTTTGTTCTCTTCTCTGCCGCCAAAGTAAGAGACGAGTGGCTTCACTGGCTGTACTGCAGGAATCCGGATATGATGAAAATGTTTTAGACTTTCCCCAGTAAACTACCGCCACTGAACGTCGAAGGCGTCGCGAGGACTATTATTGATATTTTTTACATGTCAACAACGTCTTGATAAAGTGGGACTAGGACATACTGGCAACTAAAGTTACCGAAAAAGTTTTTGGACGTTAAGTTTCTCTTTCACCCGGTTTCTTCTTTTCTTCCCAACGTTTCGGGGAAAGAGTTGGAGGAAGGAAGGATGGGAATAACTCTGATTTAAAGCGAGGGAGTTGTCATGTTTGAAAGGTAAGTTATTAACGTTATGCGTCATAAACAATATGTCCGCTTTAGCTAGCCTCCATCGCGATTTGATAGTCGGAGTGTGTGAACAAATGGGTTGCATATAGAGTCTTTCAGTAAGTTTATGTAAAAAGCGAGGGAAGGGAAATTTCCACTAGTTTCACTGCAGCTCGCGTCACTTTCTCGGTGTGTGAATAGGCAGACGACTTTCTGAAGTTGAGTAATGACCTACACGGTGTGGCTTTGTGTCTTCAATCCTGTGCTGATGATGAGACGTTGGTTTTCACAGCGCTGAGGGCTGAGGAAAGGGAGGAACTTCTGCTGCTGAGTGTGTCCCTAAAAGACGACTGTCTCATGTCCAAGGAGACCGTCTTTCCTCCGGGTGGGCCGGCAGGGCCAGGGAATGGTCCTCAGCAAGAGACCAGTCCCCTGTTGTCAGACTCACAAGGTAAGGGCACATGGGACAGGCCAGAAATCAGTAGCATGGGAAATAAAAGTAGAATTCAGGTTACCAAAGTGGGATCTGGGGAGCCATGTCATTTAACTTCATTAAATGGTAGGACAGTGAGAAAAAAAACCCTCCCAAAGTGTAGGTATGTCTGCCTCTGCACATCGAACAACATCATTGGGTCTGTCACCCAGATTCCTGTGGTCCACAACCCAAAAATGTGTCTTTTTAAGCCCTCTATGACTTGCAAACATTTAGGAGTCCCTGCTATATAATGCACAGCTCATGTGTACATGAAGTTCTCTCTTGTGAATGTTTATAAAGATCTTTTTTCCCCTGTCTACCCTGCTAGTGTACTGGCAGTGAAACTGAGATATAAATATCAGTGACACACTGCGTCAAGAATTCATGTTGCTTGCGTGGTCAAACGTGGGAGAATACAAGAGAAAAACCACACGTAGAAAATTAGCCAGTGAATGCCTTAACAGATTACTGGGGCATATCAGACTGCTTGGGACAATATCAGCCTTGTCTTCTCAAACTATATTCATGTGACTTTTGGTATACTTCAGTATCTGTACTCCAGTGTTAAGCCTTGATAATGTTTTTGCTTTTTTCCTCAATAAAGTCTGAAGAAACGCCCTGGTGACTATTAACAGCAACCACAGCCAATTATAGTTTTTAATTAACTTTCTAGTTGCCCCTAAGATTATCACATGTAAAATAAGCTTACCCCCACACCCCCTTTTTCATTTTTCTTCAAACAAGCAATGAACCGTTAACCATCCTATTTATACCAAGCATCATTATGGCACTGTCAAAAAATAGCAAAGTAGGACAAAGTAAGCAATCACTGGGGCTGCTGGATTGCGAATGGATTTTCGCTGGACCTTCAAAGGCGCTCGCAGTTAAGACTGGATTTCCTGTCTCAGGGGACTGTGGATGTACTGAGAATAGACCAATTTATTTCTAACTGTGATCACTAAATACTGCGATGCATCACACCGTACTGCTGCTAACGCAACTGCCGCTACCATACAGCCACTCCAAGCTGAGATATGTGCCATATCTATCTAGGGCTGCTGGCCTGCGTCCATCCGTTCCATTCCCCCATCCATCACTGCTTACAAAGTGTTATAGCAGTGGAACAAATGCATCAAGCTTTGGTAAACATGATTGCTAGCTTTTGCTGAATCATTCTCCCCTGGTTTTTCTTTAGAATCCCAGCAAAAGTGGCTCCAGATAGAAGATGTTTCCGCTATGAGAAAAACTGTGGGCTATGAGCAGGCATCTGGCACCAAACCAGTGAATAAAGTCATTGTGAAAAGTTTATTTACTGAACAAAGCAGCAGTGTGCAGTGAGTGAAGCGTCAGCGAGTCTCGAAGTCAAGAAGCCAGAAGACGCGGCTTAGAGAGATGAGTGGCGCTGTCTCTTGTGCTTTTGCACAGCTATCAGGCCTGGAGTTTTTGCCCACATACTTTTTCCTATTTAGATGAATGCAGGCTTTATGGCAGTAAAAAGAGGCTTGGCAGGTAGAACACACCCGGGAACAGAAGGAGAGAAAATGAGATCCAGAGCTCTGGCAAGGCCTTTACCTGAACCGCCCCACCATGTTGTGCAACCATTTGCCAGCAGCCTGTGTTTTTTCTGGCAAAAATAGGCAGAGCAGACTCTGCACCACTGGCTCATCCAGTTGTGCCTGATATTTTGCCCACTGTGACTGACCCTGCAGTAAAGGTTTACATCTGTTTTGGAGGTATGGCTGTAATGCACATTAATTTAGAACAGTTGAGCTTGTACTAGGATAATAATCAATTAAACAACTGAAACTCTTTCTGTTCGTCACTATGCAGCATATCTTGCTGCTAAACTTTGCGTGCAACAGGTTTTCCTTCTTTAACCATGTTTTAATATTTAATGCTTGTGACCCTAGATGCTTGTGACAGTGAATCATCAGGAAGAACACAGTCTCCCAGGAAACCAGCCACCGAGGGACAAAGTCATGTGACCAGGGAGAAGCCTAATTATTGCGAGCCTGTAAGAAGTAAGTTTTAACGACCTGGGAAAGCTGTGGGTGGGAAGCAGGATATCTTGGTGTTATTTTTAATGATAAACAACAATGAGCCGTTTAATTTGAGGGAGTGAAAATTATTAACATATTTTGCTTGCTCAGTCAGATGGTTAAGATTAACTGCAGTATGTGTTTAGCAGTGTCTCATTTAACATATAAATGGTTATAATTTCATCCTTTTTTATGCAAACGCTCAAACTGTCAAGAGTAGCTGTTATTATGTCAGTTACATGCACCAAGCAGGGTCATTTGGACAACTAAAATATTAGCTTCAGTGTTCCAATTAAAATATCAAGATGGTACAGAGGTCTCTTGGCAAGTGGTAACCTGCGTGCTCTGTCACTCTGCCATAATGACCAAGACTTGGCTAGTTCCTCCATTTTTGCTCCTCCTTCCAGCCCTCAGGTCAGTGTTTTGGAAATGGGGAAATCCTGTTTGTGGTTCTGGCACTGGCTGTTTTAACACACTGATTGCATCTTAGCCACAACGTTTTTCCCCCTACCAAACATTTACCTATTGGAGAAGAATTATTCCAGCTGCTAGAGGCATTTTTCTGTTGAACAGGGTCTTCAGTGTCCAGGTTTCAGCTAAGACAACATTGCAAGGGTATATTGCTCCTACCAATAATCTACTAAACCAATAACATATGTTTTAGATTTTAAAATGATGGTTTTCTCCTTTCTGCATCTTTATAATCAAATTTTATATGTTTGAAAACCTATATCACATTGTTTTATGTGTCTTGACACAGGGATGTTTTACAAAACAGTTATTTGGCATTGAACCACATGAGTTAGGGTTGGGCGATATATCAAATATATTTGAATGTTAATTAATGCAATATAGCAGATGACCATATTTTTATATTCTTACTTTTTCAGTGTTTCCGCTGGTCGCTGATGAGAGGTAGTTACTTTAGTCAGCCAACGATGAAAAGCAAACTAGTTAGCAGCTTTGAGTTCCTGTGATGTTTTCGCTGTGGCGGAAAAAAATCCCAAGAGAAAACACGATCAGTCATCTGATTGCTCTAATTTCTCCCAGCCGGCTTCCAACACTGAAACTATTATAGGCTCTTTTAATTGACTAGAATTGACTAACTAGCCAGCTTTTCACTGTCTGGACCAACTCTGCTGTGAAGAACCTAAAAGACGTTGTAGTAATGTTACATTAACAGGGCCTTTTTATTTATTTTCACAGCCTTTCTGTAACTATTATACTGTAACCTGAGCTCATCTACACACTTTATGGCTGACTGAAGCAACATAACTACCCCTCACACACCTGGAAAGAATGCAAGTATTATAGCAAAATTTAAAGTAGTCATTGTGGAGTACGTGCGTTTTACTATTATGCATGATGTTTCGGGATTAATGTTACTGCATTAATGTGTGTTGCATTTTACTGCAATGGATCCTTAAGGTTGAGCTAATTATAACTACCTTATTTACTGTTGGGTAATTTTCTCTAGAGCAGTGCATCATATTCTACAAGATCTATATTGAGATATATATCTTATATCGTGGCACAGCCTAAAAATATTAATATATATTATTTAAGGGCCAGCCCAGCCCTAGCTTGAGTTATTAGCAGGTCTAATTAAGTCTACATGCACTCAGAAAAATGACTTTATACTGAGCTATGGATTGCAAGTCACAAAAGGAAACCGGCTAAAAGCTTTGTGTGTGTTTCATTGTTCTTAAGAAGAGTGAGATGTGTCAGCAAAGGCTAATAGCAGCTGGTTGCTTCCATCCATGTAAGTGCCTAGCTATAATAAGAATTGTGTTTGCATTTGACACAACAGTTCTTTTGTTTCTAGGTTGTTAACTTTTCCAGGGCGCCTTTTCCTGCCTTTTTTTGTATTAAGCTTAATGACTTGCCAGTGGCTTGTTTACTGAATCAGCGAAGAAAAGAGATTCAGTTGCAAAAAAAAAAGATTTTCTGTCAAGAGGTCTTTCTAGCTTGGCAGGTGTGTGGAGTATTGCACTCCTGGAGGGAGGCATGCTTTTCTTTCATCTCAGCAGATAAGCCCCTGTGACAACAGTTTTGCGTTGTAATTGATGTCAACCCCCCAACATCCACACATGTCTCTTGTACGTACACACACACATACACACACACACACACACACACAGGGAATTTCAGTGGGAGGAAGATATGTTGCTTCTCTTTTGAGAGAGTTATGAGAACAAAAAAATCAAATCTTGTCAATGTCAAATAAAGGCGAACCCCCAAATTTGTACTATGATAATCTTTTTGAGACTTTAATGTACTCGTGTCTGTTTGTGGTTAGATCAAAGTTGGAAGTTCTTAAATTTAGGGGGGCTGAAGTTAACCTATTTGTGTCATAATCTCGCTGTGGTTTTGTTTGTTGAGGTGACTGATCAGATTGCTCGTTGGCACGAGTAATTGAGAGCCCTCTTCACTGCAGAAACAGGAAATCAATAAGAAATCATCTGCTTGCCTACATCCTGGCCATGCTGGTTTTTTCCCCCTGATGTCCCATTTAAAGCTTGTGTACAGTATGTGGACGGTGACTTTTCACAACAAGAGGAAGCCTATTGTGATGTTGTAATAACAACACAGATCCTATTTCAGTTATGATAACATTGTTTTGACAAGATGTCTTTTTAACCAGCGGGTCCCCTTAAAACAGGAAAGTAAACATGGCAGCAGCCCCGTATTAATTTAAAACTGTTCGTAATGGAGCACAGCCGGCATTTTCAGGAGAACTTTCTACACGCTTAATTGTTAAGTGTGATCTAAAAGATTAAATTATTATTACAAACTGAATTAACATAAATTCACATAGACTAAAAAAGTGTGGTGCTTTCCAAGATTGCTATCCACTGTGGCTTGTTAGACAAAAATAAAGTACAATTCTGTCCTTCCTGTAAATCCGTTGTCAGCGAACGGTTCGTCTGTGGCTCTGCCATCCTGGGGGAGGAGGGAGAATCTTGTGGGGGAGACAGACATTCCTCAAGAGACCGTTCTGGGTTTTCATGCAGCTGATATCTCCTGCAAACAGGGCCTCGGCTCTCCAGCCCCTGCCTCAGAATAAATTGCTGCCACCCAGCACCAGTTTTAGCAGTTTAATCGTCACATTATTCACCAGATTGTAAAATACGTAAAAAAAATGCTTTTGTGGTAGATAAAGATGACCTTACTAGCTTTAAAAGAAGAGGTCTGTTTTTTTTTATCTGAGTGAAATTCTGTAGTGAGAAAGGAAGGTCAAATAACATGACTCCTTCTTTTTTTAAAGAAAGACATTAGTGTGGCCTTTGTGTGAATCCCTGATTGGGCTCTTTAGTGGCACACTTTCAAGGTGCGCGAAATTGACCTTTCGGAAGTGAATTTGTGACCCCTAATAAATGCAGTAAAAGATATTGTTCAACGGAGAGTGTCTCGTGCTTGCAACTCTCTTGCAAGGAAAGATTCCTTGACAGTGCAACAATTAAGATTTATATACAAAACTATAAAGCGTTATGATACTAGACACTTGGCGGAGTTAGCCTACGATAAAGGGCGGAGATAGGCTAAGATAAAGGGCAAGTGCCTCCTCATGGTCATTTTTATCAACAGTGCTGTTTTGCTGGCCAAGTGTTGAATCAACATTCTCAGAATGTCACACTTTACCTTATGTATATTCCAAAGTTACTATTTAAAGACTTTTTAACCTCATACCAGTTTTCTTTTCCTAGAATGTTTTTTTTTTTCAGCTATAGGAAGTGCGTGGTGATTGTTGTTGCAAGATTCATATCTTTATTGTAATACTCAGAGCCCTGTCTCCGCAGAAATAATGTGTCTAAAGCAAAGGCCTATTATAAACTAAACCGTAATTTTCAAGTGATTACTTACCAGTGGGTCATGGAATCAAAAACTGTATAAATAGGGTGAAATGCTAGTGTAGGGGTTGATTAAAATGGCCATTGTAATTCTACCTCTGTTGTAATTATTTTCTCATTGTCTTGGTGCAGATAGATTTCATATGGGAAATTTCAAGTGTGCTAATTAGCATATTTTACCCGAAGTGCCCGAGCCTATTCACTGTTCATTTAAAAAAAAAAAAAAGATATTCAAAATACTTGAGCCAAATGATTAGATATGCATATCTCAATTCATGGACTGCATTCTTTAAGTGCTTATGTTAGATACAAGGCAACATATATGGATTGTGATTGTTTTTCTTTTTCTTTATTGCAGAGAATTATGTGGATATTAAGAATAACCTTTTACAGTTTGATTCGTCTTAACACCAATTGACCTTTGTGTCTAAATGGTTTTTGTGCAGCACGTATCTACAGTGGTGGAAGAAATACTCAGATCTTTTACTTGAATCAAAGTAGCAACTACTCAAGAAAAGTCTCTATATAATAAGTCCTGCATCCAAAGTACAGATGTATATAATTACATGGACAGGGCCATTTAATATTGTAGTTAGTGGAGGTGGTTCAACTTTTAACTTCTTTGTATATTGTTGGTTAGATTAATCTTTAACAATGTATCATTTATATGCCTTTTATGTCAAATCTAAATCTGCAAAGTAAGTAGTAACCAAGCCGTCAAATAAATGTTGTCAAGTGAAACTACTACTGTTAAACACAACATGCTATAAGCATAGCTCCTCCTTTTTTCTTTTCTACCATGTTTTATCTGTTTAGCACAGGTAAGGTAGGTGGACTGTTCGGGTCATGTTTACCACCTCCCTAACCAAGGCCACACATGATGGTGTCAGCGCCTCTCACAAGCCACTCGTAGAGAGGGAGAGAGAAAAATCAGCCAGTTCAAATGAGAGCAGTGCAGGGGGGATTACTTGGCCTCTAACAGGGTTTTGACTCTAACATTAAGGTTAAAACCCTTTTCTATTACTGAGATCTCTGCTGATGTTGCCCCCACCAGCTCCGACCCCTCGAGCTTCCAGCTTCTTGCCCCCTTCGTGTTTGCAGGTTCAGTGCCTCTCTGCTAGGTCATTCTGT